GCTTAGCCACTAGTTCATACGAGAGATATGCACCCAACAACTGGGATTGACCGTCATGTAATGGACGTGCAAGATTTGCTAACTTTTGAAATTGTTTTAAGCCTCCCTCCCCATACATTAAATGCTTCCCATGCATTTAATGCCATGACATTCTTTCTCCTCATGTTACCCTCCTCTCTCTCTCGCCCCTCACGATTACCCGTAACCTCTCTCTCTCTCTCTTGCCAAAAAAGTTCAAAACCTCTCTCTCTCTACATTTTCGTAAATACAAGCTCTCCTTTTCTCTCGCTAACTCAACCTCTTTCTCTCTCTCCATTACAGTAAACGCAAGCTCACCCTTTGTCTATCTCTCTATCTTAGAACACCTCTCTCTATCCATCACAATACCCAAAACCATTCACGTCTCTCTAACTCAGAACCTCTCTTCTCTCCATTACCGAAAACCATTAATGTCCACCAAAACCAGAGCACCACAACACACAAACACTCCCTTTCTCTCTCTCTAATTCAAAATTTCTCTCTCCATTACCGTAAATGCAAGCTCTCCCTTTCTTTCTCTATCTCAGAACCTCTTTCTCTCTCTCCATTATAGTAAACACAAGCTCTCCCGTTCTCTCTCTCTCTAACTCTGAACCCCTCTCTCTCTCCATTACAGTAAATACTCAAAACTATTCATGTCTCTCTCTCTCCATTAGTAGAGAAACCCCCCCTTCTTTCCATTGTTTCTCTCTCTCCATTATCGCAACACCACCCTCAAACCAGAACACCCCTTTCTTGCTCCATTGCAAAATGAGAAGATATTAGGGTTTGCAGCTTGCAGAGCAAGAGAAAAGCACGCTAATTGCCAGAGTTGAGCTGTATCTCTCCCTCTCGATCGCTATTTTCGTTGTGCCCTTTTTCTCTCTCCATTTTTCCCCAAACCAGGTACTCTCACTCTCTCCATTTCCAAGTTTTATTTTTGTAATTTGTTTTTGTGAAAAATTCCAAAATGCTCTGTAATTATTATTTTTACAGTAAAGATTAAGGAAAAATATTGATCATACTGTATTAGTTCCTGTGGTAGGTGTTTCTTTCTACTTGTTGTGTTTAATCTTTATCGGGTGAGTTGGGTATTTCGGGGCATTTATAGTGGGTGTTTTGGGGACTTTATTTGGTATGAAATCCAGTTTTTTGGGGCATCATTTGGTGTATTTTTAAGGCTTCTTGTTGCAATATTCTCTGTTATTTGGGTGATTTTGTTGGTTAGTGTTTTCGGCTTTATTTTGCACGAATTTTCTCTCTCTCTCTCTCTCTCTCTCTGTCTCCCTTTGTTCTTGTGCTTCAAGTACATTGAAGGGGACAAACTGAAGGTTAGGTTTAAAATTTTGTGCAATTTGGTTCCTTGTGTGATCAAGTGATTAATTTTTCATTTATTAGCAAAATTGAATTTAAATAATTCAAAATAATATACAGGGTTATGGGTTTTATATTACTTTCGGTGGTGTGTTAGTTGCTTGATTTATTTTATCCCGGTGATTGAAGAAACTAAAATGTGTTCATTTATAATGGCTTTGTGAGTTGAGAGCTGATTCTTACAATGGTTTATTAATGTATTCATCTACGTTTTCTTCTTGTTATTTTCTTCGGTTATTGAAAAAAAATTGAAACAAATAAAAGAGGATATCAATAAATTTTCGGTATTTACTAATGTCACTGAAATGATTGTTAGTGTTTTTTACTCAAAAAAGATTTGCGTACTAGAAATAGGTAGCATTTACAATATAGCAAAAATAATCCAATGTTGAACATCCAACCCCAACCTATTCCCTCCATTGATTTGTTGAAATGGTTGTGATGAAGTTCTTCATATTTCCGTTGTGACTTCTTTATAGAATGGATCTCGACAACCAATTCCCTCTATTGATTTGTAAATGCAAACCAGGATGTGGTCGGATGTACGTGTTTATATCAAAGATACCAGATAGCTACAATAGGCATTTCTATAAATGCTTTGACTGGAAGGTATGTGACATTCATTCATTGACATAATGTAGAAGTATATTGGTGTTCAATTGTAAGCATATACTTAACATACTTTTATGTTATCGTGTTAACCACTAGAATGATACTGGATGCGGCTACCTAGCATGGTGTGATGAGATCCTATGTCAAGATAGGAGGCCTGTTGTTTGAAAGTCCGTGTCTCAGAGGTCAGATGCTTGTTTTGCTGATGGAGTAGCTGCAACTGTATCTGAAAAAGAGAAGTACAAAGCTGTTGCTATGGTCCTTGAGAAAGCAGTCGTTGTAAAAGTTACTCTCATAAGTATAGTTGTTTTATTTATGATGTTGATGTCTGTCTATTACAGTAAATACAAGCTCTCCCTTTCTCATATGTACCCATTCCTTTTATAAGAAAAAGGAAGGCAAACATCAACATCATAAAAGTAGATGTTGATCGACTCTCCTTTTATGATGTTTACTGTACTGGACATATATCAACATCATAAATAAACAACTACATATATGATAGTAACTTTTACAACGACTGCTTTCTCAGGGGCCATAGCAACAACTTTGCGCTTCTCTTTTTTAGACAGAGCTGCGTCTACTAAATCAGCAAATCAAGCATCTGGCCTTTGAGACACGAACTTTCTTACCACAGGCTTCCTATCTTGAGCTAGGATCTCATCACACCATGCTAGGTAGCCCATTTAGTGTCATTCTAGTGGTTAACACGATAAGATAATAGTGTGCTAGGTATATGCTTACAAATGAACACCAATATGCTTTTAGATTTTGTTAATGAGTGAATATCACATACCTTCCGGTCAAAACATTTATAGAAAGGCCTATTGTAGTTATCTGGTGTCTTAGATATAAACACACGCATCCGACTACTTCCTGGTTTGCGTTTACAAATCAATGGAGGGAATTGGTTGTCAAGATCTATTCTATAAAGAGGTCACAATGGAAATATGAAGAACTTCATCGCAACTGTTTCAACAAATCAATCGAGGGAATAGGATGGGTTGGATGTTCAACATTGGATTATTTTTTCCTTTGCAATAGATGCTACATATTTCTAGTATGAAAATCTTTTTTGAGTAAGAAACCCTAACAATCATTTCTGTGACATCAGTAAATACTGAAAATTTATTGATATCCTCTTATATTTGTTTCAAATGTTTTTCAAAAGCCAAAGGAAATAACAAGTAAAAAAGGTAGATGAATACATTAATAAACCATTGTAAGAATCAACTCTCAATTCACAAAGCCATTATAAATGAACACATTGTACTTTCTTCAATCACCGGGATAAAAATAAATAAATCAACTAACACGCCACTAAAAGTCATATAAAACCCATAACTTGTATATTGTTTTGAATTCTTTAAATTCAATTTTGCTAATAACTGAAAAATTAATCACTTGATCACACGAGGAACCAAACTGCACAAAATTTTCAACCTAACCTTAAGTTCTCCCCTTCCATGTACTTGCAAAACAAGCACACGGGGAGACTGAGAGAGAGAGAGAGAGAGAGAGAGAGAGAGAGAGAGAGAGAGAGAGAGAGAGAGTAGT